TGATTCCTTCAATGCGTCCATAGATAAGTTGTTGTAAGAGTGCCAAATTTTAGTAAATTATATTTGGAAATACGTGCCGGCAGGTACTGGTACCTTACACGTGTAATGAAGACTTTAAATTAATTTGAATTACAATAGCAAAACTTTGTAAAACTTTTATTAAGCCTACCCTCCTCATTATTGAAGACATACATTTTATTATTTTCATTTAATAAATTTTCATACGACGTATAAAAATAAAATTGTAAGGATAATCGCAGCCGCACACAAAAATAGCTTAATTTTAAATTTTGTAACGAAGTTATAAATATGCGGTTTACGAATTTAATCTTTCATGACCGAAAACTGAACATTTTCAAAAACAAAGCTAATCATTTTAAAATTCTGCAATGAGTTATTATATGAAATATTGGATTTTTAGCCGACCTTAAATCATTCATCTTCCTAAATTCGTTTGTATGTTTTTTTTTTGTCTGTATGTTATGCGATATCCTCGCTAGTTGTGAATTAATTTTAATTATCCTTTATTCCTTAAATATCTTATACTTCGTGAATAATCCCATATGAATTCTATATACGTCATGGAAAGTGAACTATGTCTACCTACAACGTATGTCTCAATATCAATTAAACATAAAATAATAATACATATACTACTCGTAGATAGGTAATTTACGTATTGTATATTGTAACTTCCTATAAAAGTAAATACAGCACTAACTTTATGCTTTACTTAGATAGATGCATCGATGCCGCGTTTATATCTGTATATGATTTAAAATAGTTTGGAAAATTCAAAAGTGCACGCCTCATGAGCGTTTCATTTAATTTTGATGAAAAAAATTAATTGTATTTCTGACAAGCAAGATGACGTTGTGACCAGGATTAAGAAAGGAATGCTTCGGTTGTTTGGTCATGTAGAAAGAATGAACGAGGAAAGAGTGACAAAGCAAATTTATGTTGCTAATGTGAACGGCAAAGTCGGGAAGGGACGCCCTAGATGAAGGTTTATCGACCAAATTGGCGATATATTGAAAATAAGCCAGATTAGGAGTACCCTTAATCGACGAGCGTGTATGCGTAGATATATGGATGTAAAGGAGGCGAGAGAGGTGCGTCAGGATCGTGCCAAATTGAAGTCCGTAGTGTCTGCCTACCCCTCCGCGTGACAGGCGTGAGTGTTTGTGTTTGATGTGTGTATTTCTGACTTTTAAAATATATTATTTACGTGTTTAAAATTTAGCTTCCATTATTTTAACAGGTAGTGACACCTACAAGGAAAAAATAATAATATTTACCAAAATAAATCGATTATACAAAGTATAAAATCCATATAGGCTGTATGGTACATTTGTCCTTTGTCTACCAAGGGCTAAAAAATTATGAAAGCGCCTTTAAATTTTTAATAGCAATAAAACGTATAAAAGTTGAAAATCATTTTATTAACTAAATACGCGTACTAGGCTATTGATATGAAATAGGGAACCAGTTGATGTAAATCTGAAGCTAATAAAAAATAAGCTCGGTCTCGATACGTCATTTTTTTCGGACGACATCGTGACCATAATATACAAAATCAACATCCGGACGTCCACCAAATTTTTTTTCAAACCATTTTTAAGAAGCAATATAAAATGATTTTTTAGAAAATTTAAGATGTATTAATCAGAGTACTTTCTTAATATATGGCTACTCATATTATCGTATAAGTGAAAAATTGTTATGATGTTAGAGGCATTTTAAAAACACACAATTGCTTAATCTTGACATGTCAATGACGTGCAATACATGTTCGAGATAGGTATTTTGCGTAATATATATTGTAACTTCCTATAAAAGCAAATACAGCACTAACTTTATGCTTTACTTAGATAGATGCATCGATGCCGCTTTTATATCTGTATAAGATTTAAAATATGGGTCGACGTTTCTATATTGCACTGTGAATTGATCGCCAATATCCGAGGCACTGTCGAATGCTAAAACATTGAATTACGATAAGTTTGTCATAATAGCCGATTCCAAAAGTGCCTTTTGACATTTAGTTTAGCTACCCTCGAGTATACAAGAATTTTCTATAATCTACTATATACTAGATTTGATTTGTAAGCGTAGTGCATTAAATAAAGTGGTAATCTTCCTATACCCTTCCTTGTCATACAGGCGGCATGGGTAAAGAGTAGGCTGACCTAGTTGTGAGCCAATTGATAAATGGCGGTATGGCGTATAGGATTTTACCACTACACAGCAACTGTTACTTAAGGTTAAAATTTTAGGCAATCATAGCAAGATTATTTTGTCAGCGCTCACTTAGTGAGGGAATATGGCACAAACCATTAATTTTCAGCCATCTACCCATGGCTGTTTCTTATATTTACGCGAATACTATATCTTGTTCAAAACTATTTTTCCGTATTTTATCGCGTTTAATTTTCTTATTTTAATTTCCCAAGGCTTCGTGTGCTTTACAGCACCCATGGTTACAGGAGATCGGACAAAAATTAATATTAAAAAACTGAAGGTAGCCGGGCTAATCATGACATCGGGATGTCAAACATCTCAGTCCCCCCGTATACATGGGTGCTTTAAAGTACCCGAAAAAATCCGTGATAATAGTTTTATTCAACATTTACCCATGGTTTGAGCAAGATGTAATAATTAACCTTTATTACCGTACCTTAAGTACCGAAGTGCATTTTTTGTAACGATAGTACCAACGGGGTCGGTACTATCGTTACAAAAAATTCACGGGAGCTAAGAGGTCGCGTATATAGTGTTTTTTTTAAATATAGTGATGATTTAAATATATCTCTTAACATTATGATGAAAAATAAAGGGTTTTAAGAAAAAATAAGTGTAAAAAGGAAATCAACTTTATGAAATTTTAAATATAAGACTAAAATAATATTTGGTTTCAATTTTGAGGAAAAATCCGACTATTAGATATAAAAAATGAAAACACATAAAATATTCCTCTCATAGTAACCAAAAATAGTATTTCTTAATAACGACTAATATACCTTACAAAAAAAAAACGTAAAAAAATAGGAACATTCTGGAAAAAAATGAACACAGTCCCAACTTAAATTCTAAGCACAGTCATTTTACACGTACTTTTTGCACGAATAGCATCTTTATGTGATTTTCTTTTTAGTTTAGACTGACATGAGAGACAAATCTATCGTGTCTTGACTTTCTCAGCTTCATCTTCAGACATCTCTGGCTTATGAAAAGCATAGTCTTGCCAAACTCATCCTACCTTCACGAGGTTCAAATATCTTTGATTGCTGTAAATCTATCGAAGAACTATTTGTTTTACTACTTAAAGTCCCTAGTATTTCTCACAATATCTGTAAAAATAACAGTTTACCTTAACAAAAAATAAAACGAAATACTTACGTAAGAACCGACTTGCGGCCTGAGAGGCGACGTCGGAATTTCAAATCGTAATTACTCACCAAAAGCGCGTGCGGCGACACTAGTTTCTGCTCTAACGTCCACGTGAGCACTCTCTGGTTTCTGATGATGTTTGTGGTATTAGCTTATGCGGCTCTTACAGCTTCATCGGACTCAGAGCAAGGCCTTTCAGGCCGCGAGCCCTGAGTCCGATGAAGCTTTTTTTTTAGCTAACACTAAGATGAAGCTTTTTTTAGCTTCATGTGTCGATTGCTAGGAACGTAACGAGGGCATTCTTCAACTGCAGAAATGAGGTGGGCTGATAAGGCTTTAATTACCTCATTAGCCTCCTCAGACGAATCTATTTTTCTCTAAGTGCTGGGAGGTGGTAGACTGGAGTTTTACCTCGAGCTTACGCCTGTCCACGATGGTTTTGGTCTAAAGGACCTTACCTGCGGACTGGCTCAGCTACCTTAGGACTGGTCTGTGGTCCGAAATTAGTTCTAATATTGTTTCAATCGATGATATCGACAAACGGACATCTTTGAGTATCGCTACATCAAGGATATCCGGTTGGTTGTTGATTGCGAATGGGTAGCGAGTTGGAGTCTCAGGCGCGACAACATCGAAAATTAGTCGCTCCGTAAGATCAAACTATATCATACCATTGCGGTTTCTCGTACGCGAATTCCAGGAGGAATGCTTACTGTTGAGGTCTCCAGGTATTATAACACTGGAACCTGGGTTAAGTAATTCAGCAAGATCTGATTCAACCATGTGTTTTAGCGGCGTTAGGTAAGCCGATTGGATGGTGATTGGCGGATGGCCTGAGAGAGCTACCGTGGGCACTGTCTTTGCAGCTACTGAAAAGCGGTATTCGGTATTGCGCGAGAAAAGGGTAAAACTAGCGAATCAAGTGGCTGTTGGCACATCTGAGATCACACGTCGGTGCTTAAATATTAAGAACTATAATGCAGCATATTCCGTCAAATAAGTTCAAATACCTTATGGAAATATTTCCCTAACAGCTCGGAGTATAATAAATACTAATCTTTTTAGCATAATAAAATATGAATTTGCAATACTATTATGTCCTCTTCACTTTTTCAAGTGGTGAAAATATAATCAAACTTAATTTAGGTTTAGTGTGAGTTTATTGAGATATGAGGAAAATTATATCACGGGATTTTACATCATACCTATTTGTTATTAAATAAACTCTTCTTAATAATGTACTTAGCTAGAATTGCTGACGTTATTATATGTTCATTAGATCATTTTCTATTACTTTAAGTATGTATATTTTCGGAAGTAGCGATAATAAAGGGACTGTTTCACATCCAAGTCTTATTAGGCCTTAATTACATCATATTTCGTAAATAAAAAAGGAAATCAAAATATTAGTCATAAAAATTAATTAAAAAATAAAACAGGCATATAATTGGCGAAACGTAAAATCTTAAAAAAAAAACACTTGAGTACATAAGTAATTGTGGAAACTCACAATAGTATAACATGCAATCCAACAGTTTAATTAATTTGTCCTTATAATCTTAATAACCTAAATTGTTTCATAATTTAAAAAATCAGTTATAACCAGTGCCTTAATTATCAATAGTCTTGAAGTGGGTGCGCATTGTTTCCTTAATTTGTCCGATCACCATTTGAAATTGGGTTGACGTCCTATAGTTGGCTTTGTATTTCTCACATACTTCTATAAACAGGGGATGCAAGTTTTTAAGAACTGCATGATCCAGGGTTGGGAACAGATGATGGAGTGCATGCTCCCCAAAGAGCGTTACTACAGTGAATAAGTTGCCATTTATGTCCTTACGATCGAGAAGGGCTTCGACTTGATGTGCACCCCAATCAGGAGTTTCGTCTCTGAAAATATTTTCACTTATCAATAAAACTTGTCACTCAAAAGCTTACTTACTTCGCTCATCAGCGCAGTAAATAAGATTTGAGTGCGATGAATGCATTGGGGTTTTTAGTATATCAATGGGTCCCTTGATTTCGTTTGGTAGTAATATATTATTATATATCTTTTGGATATAATTGGGTGGCTTTGATTTCTCTGTAATTTTAAATCCCAACAAGTTTTTTTTTTCGGATATCGTAGTGCCTTCTTCTTAAAATAAGAAATTTTAGTCTACAAAATATAATTTGCTTCGATATTTAATCTAATTACTTTCAATGTCAATTTTCACTAGTAGATACAATATCCAATAGTCACAAATAATCAGGACGCTGTATAAATGTTTTGTATACTCTAAAGTTCTCAATCTAAATTATATTTATAACGGCGTCAGGCTGTCAAGACATGTTTTTAAAAATGAGAACTGGTAACGTAACCGACATACATACATATTTAGAGGAACGGGAAAAAGGTACGTGAAAAAGCCACGCTGCAGCTATATTATAGTTGTAGTACGAATGTATCGACTCGACCGCGGTAGGACCAAGCTCTCACAGAACACCAGCGTAAAATAGCAGTTTAATGCTGCTGTGTTTCGTATGGTGAGTGTAGAGATCCAGAGACCCATTTTACTAGAAACGAAGTACTATTCCATCTTATTCCTCAGAGGTGGCAACGCATCTATATTTTAATTCTTAATCGAGAATATATGAAGATGCCTATGGGCTACAGTACCCACTTACCATCAGGTGGACTGTGTGCTTGTTTTTCGTCCTTATTCTATTAAAAAGAGCGTTTATAATTATTGTATTTAATAATTATATTTTTATTACCTACTGGCCACCCAAAATTGTGTGTTAAGTGATAAAAAAAATTCAAATTTGTTTTTTTTTATTTTTATTTATATTACCTATTTTTAATCTCGTGAATGCGTACTGCAATAAACTTCGCAGATGCTTATTATTATTTTCTTACAATTACCGGTTACCTTTTCAATTTTTGTAAAAAAATATTAGTTTGGTGTAAATGCGTAAACACATCATTTGAATGTCCAATTACGGTAGATCACGTCCCAATAAATGTTTTTCTCTGCTATTTTCTACAACAGTAATCGAACATCTATCGATTACTGTTGTAAAACATGCACGTAAAGCAGCTAAGTCCCAAAAGATTAACGACAGCAAGGTTTCCGTTTCTTTTGTAAGCAATGTGCAATGAAACCACATTGCTTACAAAAGTGTTGTATTATATTGTGTTGTATTATTGTATTATATTATTGTGTTGTATTATATTGTTGTTTTTATTCAACATCATATGACTGATTATTATAGTTTACCTGGGTTGATCGCCGTCTTTTATGGCATCGGGATGATGATGAGCAGCGTTTACTCCAATTAAATAGAAAAGTAAACTACCGGTACAGACAATCCATAACCACGTTACTAATATTTTAGTAAAAGGACTTCCTGTAACTAGCCACATCCATAAAGGAAGGAGGAAACCGAGCAAGTCATGCCAACGATAGTGATTCTTCAAAAATCCCTCTCGGAAAAAGATTGAAAAGAACCTAAAATAATTTACACGGTCAACCAAAACTTATGTATATATATATATATATTAAATTATTATTATTAATGGAGCATTTAATTTCATACACCGAAAGTAAACAAAAATTATAAAGTATTATAAACAAATAATTTGTATAGGTAGTAGAGCAATACACCAGCCATATTATAGTTGTAGCACGAATAGGTAGGCATAACCGTTGAAGTACTACGCTCCCAAAAAAGCGTCACAAGCCTAATGCTGCTGCGTTTCGTATGGTAAGTGTAGAGATATGAGGCATTCCACCTTAGTCTCAGGGGTGACTACGCATGTGCATTTTGATTCTTAATCAAGGATACGGATGTAGATGTCAATCGTCACGTTTTAACAGTTGTAGATCCACGCGGCAAATTTGCTGTCGCACGGATGGGCCGGCTCGAACCGGGGTGGTACCACAACCTCACAGAATGCCAGCGTGAAGTAGAAGTTTACTTCTGCATTTCATCTGGTGAGTGCAGGTAGCTGGAGGTCCAATCACCCTCCTCCCCTTTATATGGTAGCGAAATTAAATAGATCACTACCCCAGGAGGTTACCAGCACTGCTGGTGACGGAGAATCCCTCGCTGAGCACCCACGCCCAAGCTACCCTACTTTATCTGAGCGTGGGTCCTAAGGCTGCCCCGCGTATACTGAGGGGGATGAAATTCCGCTCAAGACAAGCGGAGCAATAAGACAAAGGCAACCCCTGCTACGCTTTCCGTGAATTTCTACAAAATCAGGGGACTGCATTCAAACCTTAACGCCGTCCACTACCATCTGAAGACGGCAAAGCCGGCCTTGCTCTTTCTAACTGAAACACAGGTGTCCTCTCCGGCTGATACTACCCAGGGTACAAATTAGAACTCTACTTTGTGCCCCTGGCTGGAATTTGCGTATACGTCAGAGAGAACATCTGTTTTCGACGCCTTGGTAGTCTTGAAGATACGAGTCTGTCCATCCTGTGGCTGTGCTTAGACAGCGAAGACCATCCCCGCGTCTACAGGTGCCTCTATAGGTCCTATAGTGGTAATACTAACACAGACCGACTCATCGACCACGTCATAGTGGCTGCAGACTCCATGCTACAACAGATCCCATCCATAGAAATCTTGATGCTTGGTGATTTTAATGCCCACCACGCTGAATAGCTTGGTTCCCGTTAAACCGATCATGCGGATAGATCTGTTTATGAATTTGCCTTGGCATATGGTCTGATACAATTAGTTACTTCACCTACGCGGATCCCAGATGTGGAGGATCATGTACCTTCCCTGTTGGACCTTCTGCTGACCGCTCATCCAGACGGATATCGGGTCTCCGTCGATAAATCTCTTTGCTCTTCGGACCATTGTCTAATCTGGAGTATGGTGCCACTCAAATTCCATCGCAGTTGCGATCTGCAGCTTGCCACCGTGTTTGGCACTATAGGTCGGCGATTGGGACGGAATGCGGTATTTTTATGCATCCTACCCTTGGGGGCGGGTTTGCTTCTCGCCGGGTGATCTCAACGTTGTTGCTGATTCTGTTGCTGATGTGGTACTTCAGGGAATGGAATTAATTATTCCATCATCTGTGGTGCCTATTGAAGGCAGAACTCAGCCATAGTCTGGTCACTCCTGTAAAATTGCATCACGCTATAAGCAGGAGTGTTACCGGGCCTGGGCCGACTCATCAACGTCCCGGGATGTAAACACCAACGCTCTTAAAAATAAGTATAATTCCGCCACCAAGTCCTTCAAAAGTGTCATTGCCAAGGAAAATTCAGAGCACATTGGCAGAATTGGCAAGAAACTAGTTCGCCTTCCTACGGAAACACGTGCATTCTAGTCTCTCGCCAATCGCCAAGGCTGTCCAAGGGAACTTCTGCCAGCCATTTCTGCCATCTCTGCAAAAGGTGGACGACTTACTGACCCATGTCGGAAAGGAGAAAACCGATCTGCTAGGCTCTCTCTTTGCATCCAACTCAACCCCGCCGACCATCTCGCGCTGTGAGTGCTCCATGCAGGAAGTGTTGTTTACATAGCGCTTGTTGCGCATTGCACTCTTCTCCCTGGACGTCAACAAGTCGAGTGGGCGTGATGAAGTCGCACCTATTGACCTAAAGACGTGTGCTCCGGAGTTGTCACCGGTTTTAACGCTTGCCGGCACTTCTACTTCCTGGGCGTAGCCCCGAATTTATGGAAGACAGCTTTGGTGTGATCCCTAAAAAAGGACCGCTCAGATCCGTCCAACTATAAGCTTATCGCTAGCACCTCCTTAATCTCAAAAGTAATGAAAGCTTATATTAACTGCCAGTTCATGAGAATCACCAGCTGATTAATGATCACCAGTAAGGTTTCCATCGAGGTCGCTCATATGGTAATGTTCTAGGTTACCTAACTCATAGATGGGTGGAGGCAAGGGAGTCCAAGGGGAGACGTTGGCCGTTAGTTTGAACATAGCGAAGGCCTTTGAACGGGTTTGGCACAAAGCGCTTCCTTCTTATGAGCTTTCCGAGAAATTGTGCAATTAGATCACCAGTTCTCTTGCAGATCGGAGCATCAAGGTCATAGTAGACAGTGTACTCCGATTAAAATCCCATTAATACTGGTGTTCCACAAGACTGCGTGCTATCACCAACGCTTTTTCTTTTGCATATTAATGATATATTGCAAACTGGTAACATACATACATTCCTTTTCAGACGACAGTCGAGACATTATTGAACAAAGTCTCAGACTGTGGGCGACTAAACCTAGTCCAGTTCAATCCTCGGAAAACACAATTTTCGCGTTTACCGCTAAAAAGAACACCTTTGTCATATCTCTTCAGTTTCAAGGAACTCCCCTTGTTGCCTCAGCCAGTATCGTAATCCTCGGTGTCGACATTTCGAGTGATGTGCAGTTTCGTGGTCACTTTGAAGAGAAGGCTAAATTGGCCTCTAAAAACCTTGGAGTGCTCAGCATAGCGGGACAGTTTCATGCCGGCACAACGCTTGCAACTTTACAAGGCGCAGGTTCGGCCTCACATGGAATACTGTTCCCATCTCTGGGCAGGTGCTCCCCAGTGCCAGCTCCTTCCACTTGACCGCATCCAGTACATTGCGGTTCGAATCGTCGACAACCGAGTTCTGTCCGATCGGCTTGACTCACTGGCACTGCGTAAGAGATGTTGCATCTCTTTGCGTATTTTATAGCATCTACCATGGGAAGTTCTCTGAGAAAATGTTCTGAATAATTCCAGCCGCTCAATTTCACCATCGCTTATCGGGACGAAACTCGCGATACCATCCATACCATCTCGATGATTGGCGGTCCACCGCTGTGCAATTCAAAGGGAGTTTTCTTCTTCGCACAATTTCCTTGTGGAATCGATTACCACTAACGATTTTTCTGGACCGATTTGACTTAGGGACCTTCAAGACAAGAGCCTACTTCTTTTAAAAGGCCGGCAACGCATCTGCAATTCCGCTGGTGTTGTATTTGTTAATGAGTGGCGGTAGTCACTTACTATCAGGTGAGCTGCCCCCTTTCCTATAAGAAAACGTACCAGAGTATGTACTGTGTTCTCGTTTGTCACCTTAATCCTATAAAAAAACTTACTTACCACAATTGACTTAAAATAAAGGGGAAGGGCCCTTCTAAACAATATGGAAAATCTACTCATTATATGATAAAAAATAATTAATAATACTTGTTAAATATGTTATACCTCTTAGCAAAACTGATGATAAAAATGAAAGGAAAGAAGCAAAACTCTGTAATAAATCCAAGTCTAGCATATAACGGTTTATCTTTTCTGGGATTAAACAATAGTATTGGTTCCAGAGCGCTGATTTCAAGATCCATGAGTGTGTTAGTGTAAAGGTGATGTGATAATACATGTGACACTCGGAAATCTCTGAAATTAAAAAAAAATCAACAAAATATTTATTCATATATTGATGTCAATTGATACTGCTAATAATATATTTATTATTCAATAATAATTTGAAACATATTATTTACTTTGAAACTTATGTTATTATGAACTATAAATATATTTAGTATTTTTAAAATCAGTTTGCCGTGTAGTGACAGCGTAAGAGAATTCACTACCCCCAGTACAACAAACGTACAAATATCCAAATAAACTTTTACATTAACAATGTATGACTGCCCCGTGTTTCAGTGGCTTAGCGATTGAGTTGCAGCGCTAAGGGCCGCGGGTTCAAATCCAGTACGGAACAAGTATTTGTATGTTAAATAAAAGACTGGAACTTGTTGAATCCATTCTTTTTATCGGTATTACAGTTGACGCTAAGCTTCAGTGGGGCCCTCATATATCTAAACTAGCTAGCAAACATAGTTCTGCAGCATATGCTGTGTAAAAAGATTAGATGCCCTACATGTGTTGAAACAGCTAGATTAGTTTATTTTAGTTATTTCCATTTTATAATGTCTTATTTAATTTTGCTATGGGGTTATGCAACTGATATTGAAACTATATTTGTTTTTCAAAAGAGAGAATGCCTTAGAGAAAAATTTAAAGAAATAAGTATATTAACTTTTGGCCTCTCAATATATTTACGAGAACTTATTGTATATACACGAAATCAAGAATAGTTTTATTAAAAATAGTGATGTACATTCCGTAAATACTAGGAACAAGCACAAGTTAAGTTAACTTAATCGACTCCAAAGTTTCAATAATTCCTTCATAGGGCAATATATGCGGTTTGACCTTTTCTATCAAAAGGTTTAAATTATTTATAAAGCAAACATTTTCTAGGAAGGGTTATTATACTACTAAAGAGTACATGACTGATAATAACCTCTGGGAATGAGGTAATCGGTACCATCCTGTTTCTAAATATTTTCATAATAATTGTGTATAATTATATTCTAAATTGTGCTTTTAAAAAAAGTCCCGCTGGGTTTCTTGCTGGTTCTTCCCAGAACAGAAGTTTTTTTTTTGCGAACCAGTGGTAAAAGTAAAAAATGGCTTTCAATTAGTATTATGTACTATAATCTATATTGAATAAAAATTATTCTATTCTATTCTATTCTATGGTCTACAAATAATTGTCCCAGGTCTCTTGTCCTTTTTGATTCATAATTTAGGTAAAATGTAGATGTCTATGTGCCACAGCATCCACTTACCATCAAGCGGGCTGTGTGCTCGTTTGTTATCCTTATTCGATGAAAAAAAGTAGGTATTTTATTGCATCATTATACTACTATAAGGATCCAATAAAGATTAATATATTATACTCAACCCATTGTTTTGCACATATACACTATTTTCACTTATATATAAATCATTTGGTCGGTGCAGCTGATGAACACAAAATATATCTTATAGGTGTCCGCATATCATCCCGTGGGTGTCGCAAGGGGCAACAGAGAGAACCTGAAACTGAAAATGGGCAGCAACATCATCCAAATAATAACTTAATCATAGGCTATAGTAAATATCACTCTATAAGGCCATGCCGTAATATAGATTGATTAGGGCATGAGGGGGTACTGCAAAAATTCACATGTTAAGAATAGAAATATCTCAAACAGCTTTGTTTAAGGCCATGCTTAAAAAACCAGTGCGGTTAACCTTGATAAAAACGCTCCCACTCTACCAAACTGCCAACATATTTGAATAAAAAGAGATTCAGAGAGATCACAATACCACAACATTAGAAACCTTAAAACCGCATACGCACACGCACATGCTCAAGTACACACTATGATATTTACACTATAAATATGTGTAATACTGTTTTGTTAGAATGTTTATAAATCTCTAGTTAACATGCGCTCTCGGACCCCAAGATACAGGATTATCCTAGTTTGGGATCCAACAAAAAATATTTGTATATATTTTCTTGAACATTGTTTAGCTCACTATTCTTGTATCCATTTGTTAGATCTGTTTTGAGAACATTTATTATAATTAACCTGATTTGGAAACGTAATTTTATTCTTACCTGTAAGACCACATACTCATATTAAATAAGAACATTCTCCAGTTTGTTTTACGGTGTATGAAATTGTGACAAGCAACAATGAGCAATGCCAAACATATAGATGAAACCGTGTACCAAAATTGTATTAGCCAATAATTTTGAGACCAACACGCAAAAGCCGAACTACATAAAAGTGATATAAATAATCCGTCAGTTATTAAATTGGTTTTCTTTGAATCATCTTTTTGATTTTTTTTCAATTCTTGATAAACTTCTTTCTTTAAAGTTTTATAAAAACCATCTTCTTTAAATGTAAAAGGGGAATTACGTGGTGTTTTTGCTTCTCGAACATAATATTTACAGAGTATTTTTTCCACTATGGGATTTAAGTGATGAGATTCAAATGCCTCTGTTATATCAGTTCCCTGAAAATGTAATAAAGGGAAAGAATGTTTAAATTACACGCAATAAAATAAAATAAGGCTCAGTAGACAGGCAGGCATGCTATGAGAATTTTCGGTAAACTCGTTTTAAGCTAATCTTGCTTGTCTAGTCTATTCTCAATTAAAGCTAATCTTGCTGGTCTAGTCTATTATTTTCTAGCCTGGCTAATCTTGTTTGCCTCTTTCTACAAGATGTATGTTGGAGAGAGTGTACAGGAGTTATGTGACTCAAATAATTCTTGCCTCCTCCTTCCACCGTGGTCAGATTTTCACCTTTATTGTTAATACATTTGAACCAAAAGCCAACCATTTGGTTGGCGTTGTTCGTAATGTAAAGAGCGTTGGAGTGGAATAATTAGCCAGGAGCGGCAAGGTTTCAAGGCAAGGGTGAATAGACTTTTGTCTCGCTAAGCTATTCTATTTTGCTATAACATCTTCGGCAATATCACTGCTTATCGTCAAGTTATTAGATAATTTAATAAAACTACTTTTGTAACTACAAACTAGTGTTCGCGTAAATATAAAAAAATATTAGATAATTTAATTTATGTTATGTTTTAAAATATGTTGATGTACATATTTTTTTTAATTTAACTAATATCTCCCTTTAGGTTTCATATAATAAATCTATTACAGCTTATAAAAATCCACTGCCAAACATAGGCCTCTGCTATAGATCGCCTCATATGGTGATATTTTCCACAGTGTGCTAAGCTTGGCAGGCAGTTTGGCAACTGCAGTTATTTTTTATTTTTGTTCAGCTGTTATCTGTTTTGTCCCTCTGTCACCTCTTACAACACCCGTAAGACTATATGGGGTAGTGGGTATTCTTACACCTCCACTACACGATTAATAAAAGGACACGATATAGTAAATGTCACATTACCTTTTTTCTTAATTTAAATTTTACCCATGACATGGAATACACGCGAGGTATATAATAATACATAGTGATCTAATAAAATGATGAATATTTAAAAAAAATGCAATTCCTTTACCTTTGTTAGCTCCAACCATTCTTCACCTCCTGGATGTTTTTCAACAAAACTCGTTAGATCATATAATTTATCATGAACACGCCAGAGACCCTCAGCTCCGTCATCCAATGCCTTTCCACTGAGCCATTGCACTGGATCTCTTAGCCCGGAATCCCTGAGAGAAGGATATTTGAGTTGTGGAAAGCTGACATGAGTTTTTTTTTGTGTAGCCCGAGTATGTGCAATGCGATCCCAACTAGTTTCACTAGGAGCCATTTAATTGTTTTATTATAAACCGTGTTATTATTTACTTATTTTAATTTTACGGAAATAACTATTCTAAAGCGGGTAGTACTTATAGATATTAACAATACTCTACATGTGAACTATTATCTGAGGAATAATGAAATGAGCTGTGGTTTGTATAAGTTCAATTAAAGTGCTGTTAACCTCGCTATAACCGCGCCAAATTTTAATACACATATACTCGCGCACGGTCTCGCAGACCGTAAGTTTAGAATTATATTCTGTAAATTTATTCCATAAAAACTATAGTCAAATTATGTTTTCTATAAACTAGAGGGTAAATTTAACAAATCAAATCAATTACAATTAATTGTGAATTAATTATTTATTTACTGATTAGGAGTCTTTCATTAAAGCTTAAAAATAAATTGTACGTTTTTTTTAAGGTAAAAAAGGTAACGAACATAAATAAACTCTGAAATAATAAAGTCACTAAACTAACCTAAAATTGAATTTTCTTTGTACGAACTTATAGTCGCATTGTACGTTTTTAGTAACTCGAAGTTAAGTAAAGATATTCTTAGTAGTCTTCGTGTAGGATTTGAAGCAGTAGTTTTATTCCATTTTGTCTGACCATCTTTTCCGAGACATTAATAATTACTAGAAATTTGACGACCTTGCAACTCATTAGAATCACCTCATCTACAAAATGACCCACTTACTATCTACTTAATATTATCTTGTATTTTTACAAAAATCCTTAGGCCTGCTGTTGTTTTCGCTACATAGTTGTAATACGAATATTATTTTTCTTCCAATATCAATTTAATTCAATTTTCATCGATCGTTACATAAATATTAATCTAACAATAAAAAGAATGTTTCAAATACGCCATTCTATACCAAAACAATAAAGACAAAACAATCTTACAAGTATAACAAAAGACATTATTTACGAATTAGCGCTAAATGTGACCTGTTACACTTGCTATTTGTGCAAAGACATTTTCTACGCAAAAATGCTGTTAGAAACGAATCATGCATTCAACATAAATTATAGTTTGTTATTCTTATAAAGGTAAAAATACACGGTTCAATCAAATTGAATCACTTTGGTTGAATGGAGCAGAAATGTTACACCGCTAATTCAGAAAGAAAATTCCTATGATGAGGGATGCTTTGCCCGCAAGAGTGAAATTGCAAATCATTCTCAAACATCTTGCTACTGGGGATTGTTTTGGATCATTGGAAGCATTATACAGAGTACCGAGATGCTCAATATCATCTTTTTTCGAAGCAGTGTGTGAAGCAATATGGATGGTACTACGAGATTTTATTAAGGTCAGTAAAATATAGTGTAAATAAAACAAATGAATTAAGTAAATTTAGTGTATTCTTTTAATATTTCACAACATGTTTCTCATAGCTGTTTGGAGCAAGTCCGAAGTATTATTTTCTTGAGTTGTGGGCAGTATCTCACTAATTTGTTGAGTGTTTATGGGTGTTTGAACCTCATTATGATCATAAGTTTGAATAGGTGCCAATTGGAACTGAGAAATGGACGAAGGATATTGCTCATGTTGATAAGTATCTGGAGACATTTCATTTTAATTTTATGTCTTCTTCGGTTACACCGCTAATGTTCAAATCTTCAATTAGCGATTTCATAGCTTTCCCACGACAATCTCGGTTTTTATAACCCTCCGTTTTATAATTCCATAGACACGTATACTTTTTAAAATGTTCCACGAACAGAGGCGTGTGTTCTTCCTTCCATTTGAAAACCATTTCGTAGGTATGTAGTAGGTAGGAACGTATTGTCCTAAAATACGCCGTTCCTCGACACTGCGGCGCGCACGACTGACTGTAAAAGTGAATCGTTCAATTCTTGTGTTTACACATTCATTTCTCATTCATCCGCGTTGAAGATTGAACGCTAAAAGTGAAAATATTGAGCATGTTTAATTCTTTCAACGCCGTAGAACGACAACATTCAATGACATTGAATGATTCATTTATAAGTTTACATGGATCAATTTGGTTGCTTAATCCAAATTGAAAGACAAAAGTGAACCGTGTAATTTCACCTTAACGAATTGCCAGGTGTTTACGTTATAAGAACAAAACGTGAAATAATGTTTAGACGGTCTCATGAACCGACGCGCGGGTTTAGGAAGGTTAATTTATTGTATTATACATCAAAGACTATTATTTTGTGACAGATAAGATAAACAACATGAAATTAGTATTAATTCAATAAATTTATCATACACTGCTTGTTACTTGAAATTTGGACCTCATTATTTGTTAGAAAGTAAACATCATTTATTTTAACACGAAGTTAAAATGTGTTTTTATCGTATCATTTATCTTTTGAAAATATTCAAGAAAGAAGCTTAACACTGTTAAAAGATTAGTTTAAATACTACAATAGCCCTGTTTATTTTTGGTGATCAGGCCTTCAATTATGGTGTAATTTTTACCATACCAAAAATATAAATACCAGTGTTGTCGGTTTTGCTAAAAAAAGTTTAGGGCTCGATATATGTTATGATCCATAGTTCAGTCACAGCTGTAGACATTTACAACCTTCATAAACCTATTAAAATATATTTTTTATATTCTTTGTCAATGAATATAACTTGGCATGTTTTATATCCAAGTTATACACTTGTATATAAAACATTGTACTTGTATATGTATTAAATATCAGTACCTTGTTATTTTTTAATTTCATCATGTTCTACATAATTCTTTAGGCAAGCTCTTGTTACCGTTACCGTTACAGCTTATTAAAGTCCACTGCTGAACATAGGTCTCCCCTATAGATTGCCTCATAGGGGAATATTTGCCAGTTGTCACGCTTGGCAAGCGGGTTGGCAACCGAAGTTTTTATTTTTATTTTTAGTCGTTATTAGGAAGACACTGCTGCCCATTTCCTGATTTGATTCCCTCTGTCGCCTCTTTGGACAGCCACGGGATGATATGGGGTATTGGTTATTCTTACACCGCCACTTCACCGGTCCTCAAGCCATTTTATGACTAGCAAATGCGAAATCAGTTCGTATAAATCCGTATTTATGAGGACTGATTTTCATGACAACGGTGTCATGAAATATGTTTTACACAAGAGAATTTCGGATGCAATATTATGTTTTATTTGTAATTATTTCCACACGCATATACGTCTTAGTTGAAATTTTAAATCAGCACTTCAATTACTAACATCTCAAAGCGACGTAATATATTACAATTTATATCAAGCGGTGTAGCTTCAGTCACATCTAAAAATTTCATCCTTATCATCTCGATGGTAGGCAGTCCACTACCGTGCGTTTTACATTGTATTGTAAAGTATCAGATTACGTACTCTATTCGCATCGGTCGTCTCTCTATAAGAAATTAAAAAAATAGAGAATTAGAGAATTATAGATATAGAGAATTTTCTACCAATCGACGAAGCCTAAGTCACATTTAAACATCCCATCCAGATCATTTCGATGGATAGCAGCCCGCCATCGTGCGTTTTGCAAGAAATTTACTGCCACCCACCACTAAATTGTGGAATTTAGGCAGTCGCGAGCAGGTTTTCCGGACCGAAACAACTTAGGAATCTTCGAGAACAGAGTTTTAGAAAGGAGACGACAGCTGGTATCGTAGACAGGGATGACGACAGGAACCTGCAATCGAGTGATGACGTTGCAGATGTTCATTGACGGTAGTGATTACTTGTGGTCAGCTGAACCATATGCTCGTTAACCTCATATATAAAATAACCTCGTTAACCTCATCTATAAAAAGTTGTAACTACTGTCTAACTCTACGTTATTCTGTTAATTTTCTATTTAACCTTAACCAAGTAGTATGTTTTATTAATATTTAAAAAATAATACGAACATGAGTTTTGTATTATTAAATATTTTATTTATAAAGCGTAGAGCGTTATTCTTGAGACCGAATATACTAACTTAAAAGTTAGTTCTATTTACAGTTTACAACAAATGCTGTACGATGCTTAGTACGTTCAAATTAAAAAAATACGTTCCGGGTTGATTGAACCGCCTTGAGTCTGTTTTCGTATTTTAATTCCTTCGACGTGAAATACTATGATGACTATGGAGGCGATTCAACGCTGAGCTAAAATTGATTAAGTTGTACTAAAATTCACTACGTAAGCATCTTTAGGTAATTACATATATTATTATGAGTTGTTGCTATTGGCGTATTTAGTATTTTGATATTACTGTAGTTACCATAAAAATATAATCCTGACGTTTGGTGATGACGTAAGAGTACATTTCATTTCTTCATAACATAATTTCATTTATTCATATTATAATTTCATTTCTTCATATAATTGCATTTCTTCATATAATTTCATTTCTTCCCATTGGTGCCGCAAAAGACGGATATTGGAAATGGCAAAAAATCTTGCGGCTTCCGATAGATTGTGGTATAACCAACTCGTTTGCGTCAAACGTAAAGTATCCAGACTAGCGACGGGTATTTAGCGTCAGTCCACCCGACAAACGTACCGATTAAAGCAAATCCCCCCTACGATGAGACAGAAGAGGTCAATGTATAGCGGTGGTTTTTAACGGGCCGATAAAGAAGAATAAGTAATTTCTCATATACGAAAATCACTATCGTACTTTTATGTAAACAGTTTTATCATATAATATACTTTAGCGTTGTGACCACAACAAAGATAAATATTTATTTTCTTTTATCTTACTAAGATATTGGAGAGTGTAAGGGTCATAAGTATAAAACCAAATACTACAATAAAATCATATATAGTTAAATTAAACCTCATATTTGCTCGCAGTCCTTTAGAGTATATATTAATCACTTATAGTCTGCAAAAAATCAATAAATACAAATATAGAAAAGTCAGTAGAAATGCCACCTAATGGTGACTATTTGGATATTGCGTTTAAACGCGCAGCAGAAAAGAAAACGCACGTTAGCTTCCCGCAACTTGTGTACCCATCACTTAGAGATGATGGACTTAGAGATCCAGTGCAATG